CCTCCAACTGGCCCTTGACCCCGGCAAGGGAGGGGCCAGCCACAGCTTCTCTGGGCTACCTGTGCCAGTGTCTCACCACCCTCACACTGAAGAACTTATTCCTACTAGCCAATCTAAGTCTACCGTGTTTCAGGTTAAAGCCATTACCTCTTGTCATATCACTACATGCCCTTGTAAATAGTCCCTCCCCACCTTTCCTATAGGCACCCTTTAGGTACTGGCAAGCTGCTGTAAGGTCTCTCTGGAGCCTTCTCTTCTGCAGGCTGAACAAGCCCAACTCTCTCAGCCTGTCCTCACAGGAGAAGGGCTCCAGCCTTCTCGTCATCTTCATGGCCCTCCTCTGGACCCCCTCCAACAGGTTCATGTCCTTCTTATGTTGGAGGCCCCAGAGCTGAACACAGTATTCCAGGTGGGGGTCTCACCAGAGAGGAGTAGAGGGGGTGAATCACCCCCCTCGATCTGCTGGCCACACTTCTTTTGATGCAGCCTAGGATGCGGTTGGCTTTCTGGGCTGCAAGCACACATTTCTGGGTCATGTTGAGCTTCTCATCAACAAGCACCTCCAAGTCCTTTTCTGCAGGGCTTCTGTCAATCCATTCTCCACCCAGCCTGTATCTGTGCTTGGGATTGCTCCACCCAGGTGCAGGACCTTGCACTTGGCCTTGTTTGACTTCATGAGGTTTGCATGGGTCCACCTCTCCAGCCTGTCAGGATGGCCTCCCTTCCCTCCAGTGTGTGAACCTCACCACACAGCTTGGTGGTGTCGGCAAACTTGCTGAGGGTGCACGCAGTGCCACTGTCCATGTTGCCAACAAAGGTGTTAAACAGCACCAATACAGACCTCTGAGAAGCACCACTTGTCACTAGTCTCCACTAGAACATTGAGCTGTTGACCATAACTATTTGAGTGCAACCATTTTACCCCAGGGGAACCAATTAAAATCTCAGTAGCTTGCTTATGAACCACAAACATCTTCATATTGAGTGAACACTTGGTTGCTTTTGTTCTATACAGACTTTTGTTGAACTGAATAATTATTCTTTCTTCATTTGTGTGGTCTAAATGACCATTAAATAAATGAGTCAAAAAAGGTGTGTGAAAAGTAAAAAAAAAAAAAATAGATTTTTTTAACATTTCTATAAAAAGATGCATAATTTCTTTTTCAATATATGCATTGATCAAACACTGATAATGGGAATTCTTCTGTTTTCCTTCTTTACTTTTTTAAGGATTTTGTCTCTTTATAGGCAAGTATACATTTGGAATTCTCTTTTATGTTTTTTCTCTGTTATGTTATTTTTAAATTGATTTCCCCTTCTTTGTATACTTCTATAGTTCATTCCTTTTGTTCTTTTCATTTTAATTGATATTTTCTCCTGTTTCTTTATTTTTGGTCTTACTGTATTAATTCTTTCTCCCTTTACATGTCTTTTGCTTTGTCTTTTCCTCTTTCGTATTCATTATTACTTACTTTTTAGCTTGCCGTCCTGTTATCCCCAACCCATGCAAATGACAATAATGCAGCTCTAAACCCTCTGAGCTCACCACTTATCTTCCAGTAACAATCCTTCTTCAGTACCTATGCTGACTATTGTTTCTTCCCCAAGAAAGTATCTCATCCAGTGTTTTGTATCTGATGGAGCAATCGGTATTTAAATCAACTCAACCCTTGTTTTTCTTCTAAATAAAAATTCTAAGACAAATGAACAAACAAAAAGCTTGTGTGTCTTCTAGCTGTACTATATTTCTCTTCCTAAATGTATATATGCACTGAGACTTCAATCACTATACTGCAGAGAGACTCTTCTCCAAATTTTAAAGTGATCTACAGATGTGACACTTGCTGAAATTTTTCACATCTTCGTTAAAAAAAAAAAAAAAGTAAGAAGTTGATGTAGGTATTAATTTTGTAGGTGTCTTTTAGAAAGTTCAGGAAATGTTGCAATTTTTTCTTTACTAGCACCTTTAATAATTAGGTAAGTGTTTCATGGTGTTAACACACAAACCGTAACCTTGCGATTTAAAAGACTTTTTTAAGGGTTTTTACTTTTTTTTTTTAATTGCATTGAACTAGTATATACTAGCTATTTTTTTCCAGATAAGTTTTTATTTTCTTTTGTAAGATATAAATCATCAGACCATTTTTTCTTATTTCTGCTGTGAGGGATATAAATGTTTGCTTGCTTCACAAATTATGTTGACAATGCAAAGCGAAATAATGGTTTTGAAGAAAATGAAAACCGAAAAACTTTTAATCAGTTTCTGATCTCTCATGGGAATTATAATCAAATTTAGAAACAAAAAGGGTCTTTTATATTTTTAAGGTTTCTAAGATTTTCTCTTTGCTTTTATCATCTATTATTTGGGTTTTATTCTGGTTGAAGTTCTTTTTTGCTGGATTTGGAGGTTTTGTTAGTCATTTCAGTCAAGCACAATAATATTCACTGCAATGTATTCAAACTGTAACTGAAGTGTTGCTGTTTGGTTTGGTGTAGACTTTGATGAAGTGGAATGAATAGTTGACTTTATCACAATCTACATAGATCAAGAAAAATATTACAATGTAGTAATAATTCAGTGAGTAGAAAGACCATTCCCACAAAATATAGTCCAGTGAATGTGGGTTTGTATAATTCTTTTTTTTTCTCTCTGAGGTTGAAAGAGATTTCAGCATACAGAACAGTTTAACATTGAGTTTATAGCTGTTAATTATAAAAATCTATTTGTTGTGTGAAGAAAGGTATACTTCAAACCAAATCGCTTGATTCTGATCTACCACAGGTAGACTGGTCACAGTATGGTGTGACTGCAATAAAAACAGTAATACAGAATCACAGAATATTAGCAGTTGGAAGGGACCTCTGGAGATCATCTAGTCCAACCCCTCTGCCAGAGCAGGACCACCTAGAGTAGGTCACACAGGAATGTGTCCAGGCGGGTTTTGAATGTCTCCAGAGAAGGAAACCCCACACCTTCTCTGGGCAGCCTGTTCCAGTGCTCTGCCAGCCTCACAGTGAAAAAGTTTTTCCTTATGTTAAGCACCCGTTGCCCCTTGTCCTGTCATTGGCCATCACCGAGAAGAGCCCGGCTCCATCCTCCTGACACTCACCCTTTACGTATTTATAAACTTTGGTGAGGTCACCCCTCAGTCTCCTCTTCTCCAAGCTAGAGACCCAGCTCCCTCAGCCTTTCATCGTAAGGGAGATGTTTCAGTACACCTAGGTTTTCTGCTGGCTCAAGTGAGAGTCTGCTGAGACATATATAGGTGGCTTTTAAAACGGTGATTATTTCAGACAACCTGTACTGTAAGTTTAAGTCTCTTCAAGTACTTCTGACACACTGGCATGATACTGTACACTTAACAGTATGGGAGTAATGGGAAGGCAAATTTGAAGAAGTTGGTGAAGCATCCTATTCTGATAGGACCACTCTTCCTTGTGGAAAGACTTGATCTCTTCAGGTGTATCTTATGCTCCACTGAAAAATAGCGCTTTAATTTTTAATTATTTTCTTTTACAGGTCATACATATGGGATGGGTAAATGAAAAACTTGAAGGAACTGATTCATCTCAGCTCTACAAATTCAAGTTTCTGGCACTGAAGGGTTCATCCTTCTACATTTTCAGCACTCCACCGGTAAAAAAAAATAGTATTTTTGTGACAGTTTCATTGTAAATGGAAACCTGTTTGTTATGTCTGAGTTTCTTTTTCCTTAGGAAGTGAAGTCCTCAGCTGAGATTCAAAAGAAGTTAAAGTTGTAGATGCCACTGAATTTCACTAAGCTTTAGATATTTTACCCCTTTCAAGGTCTTCTGAAAATCTTACCGTACCTGGAAAGTTCAAAGAATTCCTAATAGGGAGTAAGTTTTTTTAAAACTGCCAAGTTCAGAGTTTTCTCTGGTTGGTTAGGCCAAATATTTCTTACCTTATTTATTCTAAAGTCTTTTGTAGATGTAATGAGTTGGTAGTTACTCTGTTTTCTTGAAGACAAGATACATCATGAAGTACATCATCAGTACTGTTAGTAGATACTTGTGGATTTTGCACACAGGCAAGGGATTGAACTGTTACAGAGAATCCAATGCTAAGTGTACAGTTTGAAAAAATGACATCATCTTGCTTTGATAATTTACATAGCTAGTAACGAGAATTCTATTTCACAACAGATGACTTCTCTAAAGAAAAAAAAAATTAATTTAAAAGAATGAAACAGAAATGAGTTATAGACTTCTAAACTCTTAAAAAGACTCATACTTACCACATGGTATTGTTTTATTCTCTCTTTCTTTTTTTCCTCCAGAGAACTTTTCCTTTAAACACATCAAAAAGAATAAAATGTGGAATTAGAATGCATTTTCAATTATTCAGCTTCCTTACAATTTTGCTCAGAAAGTAGTCAGTCTCACAATTTCTTCAGCTGATCCAAAGAAAATCTGATCCTTTACATGTGTACCACCTGCAGTACCTTTGGGAAGTACATACTTTTCAAACCTTATTTATGAACCTCAGTGAGAAGCAATGAGTAACATTTTTTCTCTCGATTGATTGATTGAAATTTCTAAATCAAATTATTCCTATTAACCTCAAGTGTTTTAAGATGGCCAATAGTATTCTTTTTAAAAATTACTACAATCAAACTAAAATGCAAAAACAATTTAAAAAAAAAAACAAATAAACAACAAGCCAAATGAGTGCTTTTCCTTTATAAATTTTAGTTATTGTCTTCAGATCTGTTTTTGAAGAAACATTTTCGATATGATTAAAACTATCCATCTCCATGATACTAATTTGGGATAAACTGCTTCATTTATCATGTTCAGCACTCTAGTAAGAACAGACAAGTGAGGATGAATGTTTGGTAGTATTTGCACCATATTACTTGTCAGTATCTACTACACTCTATTGTGTTTCAGCACATTTTTTTGGTAGAAACAGTGGCTTTCAAAAAAATGAACAAATGGAACTCCTTTGGTCAATGTGTTATGTCACCCCAGTACTCAGATGCACCAGTAAGTGGGACAGAGCCTGTAAATCATAAAACCTGTTGACCAGTTTTCTTCCTGTTTAATCATTCCACATCAGGGAAAAAAATAAAACAGGAAATTGGCAGTTTTCAGCAACCACCCACCTGGAGAATTCAAACTTGGATCTAAAGCCATGCTTTGAAGCTGATTCTCAGTGTTCTGAGGGCACCTACAGCCCTGACTGTCCCTGACCCACTTCCCTGGGGCTCCCCCCCACCCTTCCCAAAATAGAGGGCTCCATTGCAGCGCCCCCACGGCTGTCAGCCCCTGCCACAGCAACACAGCATGACCTGTCTTCAGCTGCCCACAGCCCTGTCCTGCCCAGCCATGGGCCTCAACGAACCATGCCCACCCACAGGCACATGTCCAGGCCCAGCCTTAGCCCACCCCTGTCCCCAGGGAGGTGCCTGGGGGAGGTGCCCCCAGTCCTCATGGTTGCCCTGCTTCTGGCTGGGGCATGTACTGGGCCTGCCTGGGAGGAAGGTAGCTTCCTTCATAGCAGCCCATATGGCAGTGGTTTTCTTATTTGTGACTAAAACAGTGCTAACACGCTAGTGTTTTGGCTGATGCTGAGCAGTGCTTGCGCAGCCTTTCTCTGTTACTCACACTGCTCGCCCAGCAAGTAGTCTGCAGGTGGGCAACAGTTTGGGAGGGGACACATCCAGGACCCAAATAGGCTAAGAGGGATATTACCTACCATAAAACATCATATTCAGCAATACAAAACCGAAAGTGGCCATTGCTTGGAGACTGTCTGTGGATCAGTCTGCTTGGGGTGGGCAGGGTGTGATCACTTTTGCATCACTTACTTTTTTTTTCCTCTTTCCATCACTCATTAAACTGTCTATCTATAACTAAACTATCAAGTTTTCTTGTTTTTTTCCCTTCTTCTTCTCTCCCCTATCCCATTGTGGAGGGATGGGGACTTGGCAAGCAGATCTGTGGGTGCTTAAGCTGTTGGATGGGGTCAGCCCACTACAGGGCAATGAGATGGGCCCTGGCTGGGAAGGACCCTGCCCTGCCGGACCCCAGGGGAGCTCCCATGGCACCCGAGGAGCCACCAGCCCACACTGTGCCCCGACACTGGTTTTGTGTCACATGACCCAGCTCTGTAGCTGAAAACACGGGTCCTCACACAAAGCCATGCATAGAGCTGTTTCACTTTTTTAGAGACATTGAATGGCACTGCTCTTACCATTACTCCTACTGACTTTTTTTAACAAGGTTAAGTGAAACATTTAAAAATGGATTGTTCTATCACAAAAATACAGATGTTTTAACTTGTTCAATCTTTAGAAGATAAGTTTAACATGTTTTATTTCAGAGACATTTCTATATTATTGTTGTTTGTATACTGAATCAATGTAGTGTATCAGCGTATCAATGTAGTGTGCACAGAGTAGATGACCTAAAAGTCATACAGTTATCTTTAGTTGTAATGACCTTGCCCATAACTTAACAACTGCTTGTAAAAAGATTTCTACTTTTTTTCTATTTTATTGTCTGTAAAAGATTATTTGAATGTAAATACAGCTGCTAACTTTCATAAGAATGGAAAACATAGTCACCCATAGGCAAAAATAAAGAAAATTGTGGAAAAAATGTGAATATTATAATATGAAAGAAATTACTATGGCAAATAATTCTCTATACTCCATTTCAACAATATCTCAGACAGTGTTTCCAAAAATGTAGAAGCTGCACCGTAGAAGTAAATATCAAGAATGATGTGATTAACAGAGAATGATCTTTTTGCATCCCTAAAGTGTCTTATATGACCGTATTTAAGAAATTGACAGAATTCATTTACAGATTGCTATATTAGAATTATGACATATTTCTGAAAACTGCATGTGTGAAAAACACCATTGAACAAATAGAAATTATTCTTGCGTCAATGTTAATAAGCAAGCAGTATTTTATTCCATTCTGAAAGCATCTAGTAAATTTCTGTCAATTTTCAGATTTGAAAAGGTTCTGAATTCATATCCTAGAAGAAATTGGGGAGACAGTATTCAAAATTGTCATTCAAAACCAAACTGGTTTTAATGTCATTGAAAATTTCCAGAAAAAAAATAAATGTTTTGGTTTTTTTCAAAGATGGGCTAAATGGGGGGATGGTACTGTTCAATATGGTTTTTAAATTTGAGTGTTCAAATAGCCATATCTTTGGAGCTATTGTGTTACCCATAATTACAAAACTATCTTTTTCAACGTGATTAAAGAAATAGCATTGAAGTCGTTTACATGAAGGCAGCTAGGCAATCATTGCGTGTGTTGCTTATAGTTTTAAAGAAAAGGAATGAATGCAAGAATAATGTGAAAATAACAGAAATAGTTCCACCTTTGAAAAACACTACAGAGAAAAGCTTGCATAATGTAATTAGCACATAAACGATGCTTTGAATGTTAGAGAGTACTGCTACGTAAGTTCTAAATACTTGTACTAATTTACATTACACATAATGTCAGTGTAACATATCAGGAAAGAGGTGGCAATGAGTTGGAGGGCATAGACTTGACCATGAATGCTTTTGGTGAACTTTCTAACTCTACACACAAGTCTTTATTTTGTTCACATATTTGCTAGGATCTGACTGCTCTTTAGTGTGTGTTTTGTACCATCAATTTTGAGTTGGTCTGGACATCTTTAAGCTTCTATGGACATCTTTAAGCTTTCTTCTTCTAACTATGATATACTGCTATATCATAGTTCATCTCAAGAACATTTCTTGATTTTTTTTTCCTTTTTTAATATCTTTTATTTTTTAAAATTATACTAGCTCATTTTTTTTCTGTTGAACAGTGGAGAGACCAGTGAAATGAATTACTCTTGACCTAAAAGTATTTCATCTTTTGCCTAGACCTTTTTTTACTCCTTCTAGGTGGGTTGAGTGCTTGTACTTAATTGTCAGATAATGCAGCGTTGCCTGTTCAAGTAATAAGTATCACAGCCAATTTGACCTGTTTTTTCCCCCTTAAATTTCACTCTTTAAATGTATTCAAAATTTTTTAACAGTTTGGGGGACACTGGAGATTTCTAGAATCAGGTTCAGTCTTCATAGAAAGTCAAAGAGTATGTTATGTTCTCCTTGACTTTAGTGAGTTTTGAAGTGTCGTTCTCTCTCACATATACTCTGTATTTATTTCTCATGTCTAGTCAATCCTTTATGCTGATCTCTGAATAGCCAAAAAAGTCTTTTATGCCTATTTTGTAATTGCAGAATTTTCTTCTAGGGAGTAACTTTTTCGGTTTGTTGTCTACTCTATAGAATCATAGAATCATTTTGGTTGGAAAAGACCTTTAAGATCATCAAGTCCAACCATTATCCTAACACTGCCAAGCCCACCACTAAACCATGTCCCTAAGCACCACATCTATACGTCTTTTGAACACCTCCAGGGACAGTGACTCCACCACCTCTCGGGGCAGCCTATTCCAATGTCTAACCACTCTTTCAGTAAAGAAATTTTTCCTAATAGCCAATCTAAATCTCCCCTGGCACAACTTGAGGCCATTACCTCAAGAAATTGCGATGTATAGAACAACTACAGGAACAATTCCAAGAGGAAATAACGAGAAAAACTTTTGTATTGCCTAAGGAATATATTTCAGTATCTCATTTATCTTAGTTACCTATCATTACCCAGTTATTAGATGTGTGATGATGGATAAGCCTGCAATAAACTGAAATATCCTTTAAAGCAAATGAAGGATATTGCACTTTTTGTGAACTTTTCTGATTCTTTCCAGCTTTTCTCATTGACTAGAAGTATATGATCATTTTTAAATTTTTATAAAAGCAATGCAGTCTATAACAATAACCTTTTAAACTTAGACATACCATGATAGTTCTGGGAAAACTATAAATAATATCATCTGTCTCTTTGGATTCTAGTATCCCTTTGCCATATGTTTGTTTCCCCTCCTTAAAATCCTGCTCAGCATGCCCTTTGTGTTCTCCTAATGACTTTGCACACTGATACTCAGACTGTTTCATTCTTGACTTTAAGTATGGTAGCCTTTCTCTGACATATACTGTAAAAGAAAATCTTGGCTTATATAGCTGCTAACAGTTACCATCATCACTAGCTATCTCTGCTGAAAAAGTCTTAAGAGATTACAGAGAGGCAAAGGATCAAAGAGATGCACAGGATAATGGGCAAAAGGCTGAAGAATTCTGAGTGAATTTAATGACACAGCAGTGTCACCATCGTCCATGATAGTATCATTAATAGCAGCAAAGATCCCCAACAGTTTAAATTAGTCTTCAGGAATCAAAACAAATTATATGAGCAAATAAAAGTTCAGTCATGTCTCAACAGCTTTTAGGTTATAGCCTGTGTCACTAAATTCAGTTTCATAAACAGCAGATTAAATCGGTGCTTATGCTTTTATATCTTGTCTAGCCTCTAATAGGAATGAAGGATTCTCCAGCTTTTAACTGAGATTGAAAAGATTCTTTCCCTTCTAGAAATTCAAGACCAAATAATGAACTAGCCACCATTCTAGTCTGTAAACCTGATTTTGCAAGAAGCATGAAAATCCCTTTTGAGGATCAACAGTAAAGGACCAAAACTTGTATTATTTAATATTTTATTTTCAAAACAGCCATCACAGTAAAACATATTCCCCCGTAAATAAGATTAAGCAAAGACCTGCAGTACTTGCTCTGTGTGAACATGTTTAAATATATAATATTTCTTTATGAGTCAGCTTTATAATTCCTCAGTTTTAGTTGTTTCTAAACTTGTATTTTTGCTTACTCATAGCAATAATTAAAAAGCAAAACTCAAAAAATATTGAATGGACCTTACTAGAAGGAAAAGAGTAGCAGAAAACTAAAAATTACAAATGTATGACTCTAAAAATTGCAGCATTTTATGAAGTGATGGGAGGACAAGTATAATATCTAAAATTGCTTTCAATTAATTTTCTAAAACATCTAACAATAGATTTAAATTTGACAAAATTCCTTTGAAGTAGTACTAAGTACTTTTAAAGTTAGCTATACATAATGTTCCAAGCTTTAATTTATGATATGAAATTGCTCATAATGAAACAGAAGGAGAAAGTATATAACATGCTTTTACATATTCTGCTGCATGCATTGTATTCAAGTGATGTTTGTCATTTGATTGTTAAAATATAGAAACTGTCAAACGGAGAACCTTAGAATATGAGTCCCTTTATATTCTGAAAAGATGTAGTGATAGAACTTCCTGTTCTAGAGATCTTCAGTCCCATTTGCAATAGGTGATTCATCTCATCTAAACTTAGTCATCTTGAAGTTAAAGATCTAAGATCTAATCTAAAGTTAGAGAAACGGGGAGAAAGCACTGCCTTTCTTTCTTTTTTCTTTTTTTCTTCTTTCCTAATATGTTGAAATTAAGATTAGATAATTAAGAATTAGATTAGGTTGTTAAGATTAGATACTTCTGATGTCTACATTTAGGTGGGATGCTTTCCACATTAAGAAAGAATTCAGGTAAATTCTGAAACACTGCTTTGAAACACATAGCTGTGACATCTACTTGATAATGATGTTCATTGGAGTGGACATAAGAGTATATGAGATTAGAAAGAAAGTAACACCAAGTTCACCTTACTTCTCCAACAGCACTCTGAAATAATGTTTAATAACTAGTAGAAGTCGTATCGGTCTGGTCCTAAGTGCTGTAGTGGTTTGGAGTTTCCCATTTTATTACCTTTTTGCTTAACCGTTTAGAATTTATGAAGACCTGGAAATTCAATTTAAAAATAAATTTTAAAAACTCATGTTGATCTTTATGCAAAACGTCAGGAACAAGATTGATTGTTATAGGTGAACTATGTACTACTGTGAATATGTAGGAAAAGAATCTGTTGTTGAATTTCATATTTCTTTCCTAGTTAAGTTTCATCCACAGAAGCCAGATGATTTACAGCCAAATTTTGCTTTACCTAAAAAAACTTAATTTAATTTTTCTGCTTTCTTCATTTTGGGAGGAGGGCAGGAACATGCCAAAGCTGCATCTGCCCTAGTATTTTAAAGTAACCAAGTTGCTGTTAGAGTCACATTTATTTCCATGTGCTAAATGCCTTGGAGTTACAATTTAGTCAGATTCTTCATATATCTGTGCAGCCATTCCCGTGCATTCACCAACAACCAGGATTTTGCTCTAAGTTATATAAGCGAAATAATGGGTATTCCCCTTGTATTTTCCCTATGTGTAGGTTCTTTTTTTTTTTCCTGAACTACACAGGCTATGTACTGGTTTTAAAAGAAAACAGATTATCGCTTTATATCATGAACTGGAATTTAGGGAGAAACTTCAAATATCTTTCTAACCATCAAATTTTAACAGCTTGTCGTGTCAAAGGGATTGAGTAATAAAATCAAAGGAAAACAAAAAATATGTCTTTTTCATATTCATTATTAAGCACACTGTTGACATTTTTCTTAATTTCAAATATTGCAGTCACATAGTGCTTTTCAGGTTTTAGTATAAATCTTAAAATATTAAAGTATTCAAGCCTGAATTTAGGACCACATCTTGGTCTGTTGATTGCAAGATTTTTTTTAAATTGAGACATGAAGCTGAATGACTCTGGGTTTAAGACTGGGTTCTCTGTGCTAGCATATTGGAAAATAAATATGCTTATGTAGCTCACCACCGAGATTACAAAGAGGTTTCCATCATACTGTAGTAATAATGTGGGGAAAAAAATCAATGAAATTATTTAATACCTTTTACTTATATTAAGACTCCTGTCGATGCTGTTTCTGTAAAAATCTAATGTTATTTGACAGTCTTTTCTAAATGCTGGATATTAAATGTAGTAATGTGCCTATATTTATATTCACACCACCCATAATGGTGGGTGGAACATTTTTACTTTTTTTCATCTGTACATATTTTTAGAATAAAGAATGAGTTATTAATATATCTTTTTGATATTATAGGTAAGCACACTAGACTGGGTACGAGCTGAAAAAATCTATAACCTCTGTGAGGTTCTATTTAAAATTCACAAGGTAGGTTTCCTAATGATTACAATGATATATATAAAGAAATCTTGCCTTGTCCTTTTAATGGTACGCTCAATCTGTTAAAATAAACTATTTGTAATTGCTAGTGTATTAGCTATGCAAGTATAAGAGAATACGGAAAATGTATTAAACACCAAGTGAGTAAGTTACTAAAATGCTTCCATATTGAACAAAATTTTCAGTATTAGAGCTGGTTTTGTGAAATATAGGTGAGACACATAGCTGAGCATAATGAAGCTGGATATTGGTTTTTTCTTAGTGGGTCAGATTTTTAAGTGAATGTGAAGAATGCTTTTGCTATAATTCCTGGTCTGTATAAAGATAGTTTAATTTCCGTAATTAGAAGTATAAAATTATGTCCTTTTTGGGTCACGTGTAATTTGCAAATATTATAGTAGGTTTTACCTTACAAAGGGCAACATGGTTCATTTGTGTACCACAGAATTCTTCATTTTTTTCCACCACCTAGAGACAGTGTCATGTTTTCTGTTTAGCTTGTCCCAGGCAAGGATTTTTTTTAAAACCTTAGCAGACTGATTAAGTAATTGACTTACAGAAGCTATTCTCTAATAAATTTCATCAGATTACTTTAGCTCTCTGCCAGATAATCAAAAACTGCTTGGCAGGTGAGGTAAGGCTAGATGAGAGCCTACTTGCCTAAGAGAGTAAAAACAAACATATTATGAGAAAAAAAAAAAAAAAAACCAAAAACAAAACCCAAAAAGATCAGTCTTTTGAGATAAAATTCTGTTTCATTGGAAAATTATAAATCAACTTTAATTCTCACCAGTTGCTGTCCTCTCTGCTGTTCCTCCTTTGACCATCTACAAATGTTGTGGAGAAGCAAGGTTGTTGTTATCTGGACAGATATCAACTTTACATTGTGCTGGACAACTGTTTAAGTTTCGGTTTGTTTTTTTTTTCCTAATGCAGCACAGTTATTCAGGACAATGTACAGAAGGAAAAGTGGAAAAAAAAAAAAAAAGAAAAGAATTCATAGACCTGACAATAACAATCCATTCCCCTTTACAGCCCTGTTCAGCATAGAGGGGAATTCTCTGTAGAACTAAATGACCAAATTCTTCAAAGAATGTCGTGGCAGGAAGTTTCCATGCCCTGACTACTCAAACAACTTGTCTGTCCCAAACTGACTTTCAACAGCAGGAGCATGTTTCCTACACCAATTTTGTTGACTGTGATTAAAAAAAAAAAAAAAAAAAAAAAGGAAGACAGACAAATAATGCATGATGTAGGTACAACCAACAGAGTAAGGAGCACAAGGAATTTGATAGAAATCTAGAAAACATATCTCTCAAATATGAGCTGACATCTGCGTTTTACAGAGCTGTCCGTCCCGTTAACTGTCTGCTAGAAGAGTTTCTCCTGATGTCAGCTGCCAATTTTGCAGCCCATCACTGCCTGTTTTTTCTCTGTTGTAAGCCTGCTGTCACTGGGCAGGGGAAGAAGATTCCCTTCTCTGGCAGAAGTGGGGAGAGGGAAGGGTCTTGGTCAGTGCCATGCCAGGAAAAAATCAGTCCTGGAGGTTGGGACTTGAGTGCAGGCTGCAGGAGCACAGCCATGTTCTTGTAGGCATAGCACCATTTCAGTGTGATCATGTCTCCAGCTGGGTACACATGGGCAACTTCGGGTCCTGCCCATCATCGAGACAGCAGCAAAGAGCAGAGGTTCTGTACCAGATTATTTATTCAGTCTCCTTAATAATTTTAAAATTTTTTCAATTATTATCATTTTTTTCCTCCTGTAAATGTTACTACTGATTTTGAAACTCAGTCCTTCCTTGAATATCTTGGTAATTTCAAGGATAATCTATCCTGAAAGCAAATTCCATGATACTTTTTCATTAAGAAAAGAAGTGGGAAATAAACTACCCAGGATTCAACTCTAATGTTCTTGACATTTTAATAAATGAATGTTTAATTGCCAGTCTTCATGAATACATTAGCTAAAGTGCAAAAGCTCAAACTCAAATCTTTAACCTCTTTTCTGTTGATTCTTTGGTATAAATGACAATGAGGCAAACTGAGCAAATCCAAAAAAGACAGGAAAAAAATCTTAAGAGATTAAGGTTTCTACATCACAGACTGAAAGATGGAGTTTATGTTGTAAAAACTGCCATTTGGGCAGAGAATTCTTAAGGATTTTCAGAAGCTGGTTAGAACTAGTGCAAAGCTGTGGTGGAGAGTGCTATGGTATCTTCTCACAAAAGATGGATTTTAAGGAGAGGTGCACTTATTACGTGATTGTAAACTTGCCGTCTATGTTTATTATGACACAAGAGTTAAACATGGAAATCAAGAAACCAGTGGAAATTACATTTAAAAACAAAATATTTGCTATGTTTTGGATTTGTGTGTGTATACATAATGGATATATACACACTTGCATACACAAACATGCGTGTGCAAATATGTGAATTAAAATTCATATATATCTGTCATGCACTTGCATATTTAGTAGTAACAAACAGATGACTGAAAATGTAATCTCTTGTATTGCATGTGTTTCTTCCTGTACTCCATAGTATACTTTCTTGCCTCATGCTCCATATTTACTGGAACTGTTACTTCGAACCTGTTTTTTTCAGGGGTGAGATTATTAGATACGTTTTTAAAAGCCATCTGTCTTAAAACCATTTTCTTTTCTTTCGTTGTCTGATATTTTCACACATCACATTTTCACATACAAAGTAAAAAATATTAATATAGAAGTGTGCAATGCCAGGATGAGCAGCACTAAGTCTTGAAGCAGATATAGGTGTAATAATACCTGTCACTCTATAGCCGCTGAACACCAACACATGTATGCAGGCATTTTGTTCAACTTCCTTTTCAACAGTCCAAAGGAGCGTTGTAAAATAACTTTGAACTTCCTTAGGTCTGTTCTCCCCTTGGATAGCTGCAGGGCCATTTTTGACAACATAGTGCTGTGTACCATGGTGGCATTATGTGCTGCTTCTGAGGTGCCCCACAAAACGTCCGTGGCTTAACAGGCTGGACTTGAGTTAATCGCATAAGTGTACATTTGCCAGCTTTATGTTATTCAGTAATACACCACCACAAGCAAAATATTCTGTTCCCATCTGAGTATTTCGATCCTATTTATGAATATGAGAGCAGTGCACAGATGAGGGTGTGCTAGCAGACCATTTGTTTCCACTGCCTTTCTGTACTAAAAAATGGATCTGCACTGCTCCCCTGCGTAGGTGGTTGTGTGTACATCTAGAACAGGAGGGACACAAGACCCTGAACATTTAAGTATTTATTTTGCATGTCAGATATCAGAAATATCTGACATGCAAAATAGCAGAATATTTTACATTACATTAGGATGCTCAGATTCCAGTTGTTTGTTTGTTTTCGTGTGCATGGAGTTTCAATTGTAGCCTCAATAGGAGGCTATGATGGACTATTAGAGGTTCTGGAAAACTAAATTCTAAATCTTCATGAGGCTTATGCTGACTACAGGATTCTAGGACTCGGGTACCACTACAAAGCTGCATTGTAGTCTTTTCAAAGCCACCTATGTCCAGTCAAACATGACTGCTTTTACCTCAGGTCTGCTTGACCAGAGTTACGTCTCCTTAAACTTAATTTGGAGTGATAGAGAAAGAAAATTATGTTTGCAGGAAATAACATTCCCTTTGCAAGTTACTTTTTTTGTTCTTTCAATCTTTTCTGCCCCATGCTGTCATAGAGAAATGGAGATAGGAAAGGGCCCTATCTGATAAATAGAAATTTTAAAAAATGTGTTATTTGGGAATTCAGTCAGTGAATACTCAGATGTATAAGCAGTAGCTTTTGTATTTAGTTTTCTGTTTCTCTATATTTATGCTAATCAATAAAGTCTTGGAAGATTAGGGAAGTTTCTTGTAAGAGTTTGTTTTCATTCTGTTACAGGGATATTTTTTATTATGAAAGACTAAGTGAAATTTCTCTTATTCTTGAAGGTGATGGCAGATCTCACCTCACTCCCCTTGTAGTTGCAGAGCAGGATTGGCAGCTATTAGGGGACATTTGAAAGCTCACGTTGTCTTTCCCAGAATTAGCCCTTGGGTTCTTGATAAATTCCTTGGCGGTCAGCATATTGGTACACAATTAGAATGGAGTAGTTACATTCTCCTGTAAAGATGCTACACAGGTCTTGAATTGTAATCACACAATTCAGCTTTTTCCTTCTTTTTCACTGTAAACAATATATTGCTACAAACTCCTTTTAAATTCTGTATGCATTGCTTTGGTAACTGACAATATTTTAGAACTGCAGAAGTAGCTTGGATTACATGATCCAGGGTAAAGAGAATAAGAGGCAAAGAGAGAAGTTGTCTTTAGAATTATTACTTAATTCTCAGAACATTTCTTCAAGGTAATTATTAACATAATGCATAACATATCCCCTCAACAAGTACCCATCACTTACAGAAAACAATGTTGCTTTAACTGTTTGGTTTTGCTAGATGAAGAATCACATACTGAAATATGTCTTTCAGCTCTGGCTTGCTGACGATTGCTGGCTACAAGCAAACTTGTATTTAGGTATTCATCAGGATTTTGATCTTGAAGACCAGAGGCCATATTGTTTCAGTGTTATGGTTGGACATGGCAAGAGCCATTATTTCAATGTAGAGCTGGGCAGTGAGTTGGCAGTGTGGGAAAAATCATTTCAAAGAGCAATTTTCTTGGAAGTTCAAAGAACAGGGGTAAGTAATGAATAATTTAAAACCTGGAGCCATTTCATCAGTAAAGTAATTATAACAATTTTTTAGGTCATTTGTACGTTTAATAACTGCATCAGATTGATGTGCTCCATGACTGAGGATCTGAGTAATTTTAATACACCAAAGGCTTCTGAAAGCTTCATCATCACAACAATGTTTGTGTGTATGTCAATGACTATGTAATAACAGTCTGTGACCATGTTACAACAGTTTGAAAATTGGAAGTAGAAATGTCTTAAGTTGACCTTGATTATAACAAACTGGAAATTAATACATTTTACCACTGGAAAACAATTTCTGTGGAGATTATTTAGCCCACCTTGAACATTTTATCCCAGAAACCCTATTTTCCACTGAAATAAGGTAAATATATTGTTTTACATAATGGTTCTCTTTTCAACAAAGAAATATTTTACTATTACATTGTTAGTTGTAGATTTGGGTTGTTGTTGTTAACATTGGAAGATTTTGAAGACTCATTGTGATAGTCTTAAATTCTCAAAATTAAACAGCAGATTATTGTTTCCTACTGGCTAGTAAAATTCTCTCAAGTCAACTATTTTCTCAGATCTAAGGGTGCACCTCCCATTAGGTGATTTTAAATCTAAAATCAAGATTCCTGGTATAATTGTTTAAATGTCGGTGTCTATTAACATTGTGGTGACTAAGCAGATACTTTATTCTAAAGGAGATATTTTGTGGTATGAAGACAGAGTAGATAAATTAATTTTTATATAAATTGTAACTTAAAGCACCTCTTTACTGTTATATATAAATATCTGAACATCTAGATCCATACTCCCAAGTGAACTGGACCAGTGGTATGGGAATATATGCATTAAAAGTATAGGCCTTCTTCAGTTAAAAACGTATTTACACAGTTTAGCACAAATGCAAGCTTGACCTGGTATGTTTGGGTTTGCAGGGACCACCTAAAGATGTTTGCAATAGCAAGAGCACTGGATCACAGAATTGCATTAGCACAGCTTGGAGGGAGCAGGAGTCCTAGTACAGGTGTTGAGTCAGCTTTTCTAAATTTCCAAATCTCTGAGATTGTTCTAACAAAGTTTGCAGGTGCTTGGTCAGACCCCTTTCAATTGTCTCCTCAGACTGATTGGGTAACAAAAAAGATTTTGTAATGGAGATGCTGTTGCTCCTGCACTTCTGAGAAGGAATGCTGTTCTTCAGAAAAAAAAAAAATTCATTCTTTCTGAAAAATTCCTGGGCATCAGGGAGGGATTAATATGCACATTGAGTATGCATAAAGTATGCATAAAGTATTTTCTCATATGAACTCTTTAAGAAATTATGGTACGACTGACCAACCTTTCAATTGTCCTTTATATTATCTATATAAAAAGCTGATAATATATAATTAAAATTAAGTATAACAAGGGTGGAGATTAGCTGGTTCTGTTCAATTTCTGAAGTATTTATTGTTCAATCTTAAAATTTATTGTTCTTTTACATCCTAATAGTCTTAAAATTAAGGAATGATTCTTTCCTTGTAGAATGATCTTTTATCATTTGAGTCAAACAATCCTCTAGACCCATATCACACAAAATACATGTTTCTTCCAGCTGTGGTTAAACCTATCTGGAACCTCCACGAGAGGCATTCAATTAAAATCCCAATTACAGTGCTTAAGTCTCCGTATGGGTGTTCCCATATCTTAATTTTCTCTCCTCAGTTGCATACATTCAAGTTTGTTGTAAACCACTCTGTCAGCAGGATGCAAAGTGCTGCGGCCGGTCTCCAGCAGTGAAAAATCTTTTGACTCCACTATTTACTTTCTTCCTTCAAAATGTAAATGCTGCTTTGAATTCCCTTCTTTTCAGAAGGATATCAAGAGCAGCATGAATGAGGTGCAGCTTAACATTACATAGATTATTTCAAGCCATAGAAAAAGAACTCTTAGTTCAGTATCCAGAAAATTGAAGGTTGTCACTAGTAGATTAAAATTCTTTATCCATAAAAATTATTTCTTTTGGAGAAGGACAATAATTGCAGTTGGAGATTCATATTTATTCATAAATGACTGGGCAAGATTCATGGCAGATGTTGGGTTGCACTGTGTCATTTCAGTCTTTCTTATTTAAATGTGGCTTGGTTCTGTTTGCTGTTGAGGGTCATTAGGATCTTGTCTTTGACAGAGTTGTTAACCTTATCCTGTATGTGTTCTTTGTGTTTGGTGTTTCCATGAGAAGAGTTGTATTTCTGAGAAGATTCTGTGCTTACACAGTTTGTGAAAAGAAGTTTAAGGTGCAATGGTGTGTTCAGCATTCAGCAGCACTGAATGACAGAAAGAGTGCAATAAAGCAGGAAGAAAACCCTCACAATTAACATTCCACTTTCAGCTGTCTTAAAGCCACATTTCAAGCTGCAAATGCTTACAAGAAGGAGTCTACCAAGAAACTCTGGAATTCAGTGGCCCTGATGAAATTAATCTATTTACAAAGACAGCAAACAAACTTATGTTAAATCCATGTGCTAGAAATATCTATACTTTCTTCCTATAAAGAATATTGTAGTCTCTGATGGCATAATTTGGACAGATGGGGGCATTAAAAATGCAATAGAAGTAGGGCAGGAAGTTGAAACACAGAAAAAGTGCTGTTAAAAATTATTTCCATGAGGTTGGTAATAAAAGTCGGTATTGCAATGGAGGAAGTGAAGTCCTCTCAATCATAACTAGAAGTTTAATCGTCTCCTGCAAATCCCAGCAAGCCTCTCTGTCTCACCTGGAACATCCTGAACAATGCAAGACTAATTAATGATGCTCAGATAAAAAGTAATTTTTCTTTAATTTTTTTGCGGTGTAGACAATCTTCAAAAATAAAAGGCTAGCACATTTTCCATATCTCTTACTAATTCTTTGACCCTTCAGGGTAGTCTTATCAGTACTATGGGCTTTATTCCGTGTTTTTTCAGCATCGTCTTTTTTAGTTATTCTCAGCATTCTTCCCTGTTCTCAAACTATTATTTCCAAAGGAAATTTTCTTGACTCATCTGAGTCTTGGATATGATTGTTAAATTAATGCAGAAACACTTCAATAGGTTGATTTGGATTTTGGAGGTCTTCCATCTTGTTCAACAGGAGGATAGAGGAGGATATGGGAATACTATATGGTAGTGGGCACTGAAAAGAGTGACAGTAATGCATTTCACTGTCAGCTGAGAAAAGTTGGACTGTTTTGTCATCTTGAAACTTGGTACTTGTTACTTGGATGTCAGAAGACATGAAGAATCTGCTTCACAAGATGGAAGAGCTCTCAGGAGACTGAAAAAAACATGCAGGGGGAAAGTCACCTACTGCAGTGTCTCTAAAATACCTGCAGCTGGTGTACAGTGAAAAGACATGGTTACATACTCACCTCATTTATCTAGCAACTTCTAAACACAAAAGAAACTTTTCCCCTCATGCTTCCAGCTGTGATGCAGATGTTGCGAGCTCTTTCCAGTCCTTATACAGCTGAATAACTTTTCCCTGGACAAAAAAAAGTTTAATAAGAGTTACTGCAAAAATTACAAAATAGGTCAGATGTTGGACTCCACTCAATCATAACAGAATAATCAAGGAGTTTTGCTGCATGGTTATTTTCTGTGCTTAAAAATAAGTACTTCTAGCAACTTCTTTCTATTTTGTTCCGTAACTCAATGACTGATCTTGACAGATAAATAAACCCTGGAAATAAAAATGTAATATATATTTGTAGAGGGCAGGGATATGAATGTATTGTGCTAAGAGAAATGTTAGCAGTAAAATTCATGTTCCTGGAATGATACAAATTCCTATTGTGAATAATATACATTAAAAAATAAAATACAAAAAAAAATCATGAATGTCGTAATAATATTTCACTTAAATCCATGTCGTTTGAACATTATGGGAAATCCAAAACCAGTTTATAATGAACATAAATGTACAATGCAATTATCATATGTTTTCCCTCTTTATATTTCAGTTAACATGTATCTGCTTCTGTGGATGTTTTATATGCATTTTTAACATTTACTTATTTTCCTAAGAGTTAACAACAAACCATTCTCTTTAGTGAGATTCTTGATGCTGCACACGTAAACCAGACTGGCTCATTGTGGCACAGAATTGCTTGCTGATTATTGTCTGTTCCTGCATAAATGCAAAAATAATTATTGGGAGTAATTGTGCATGCAGACCTGGAGCTTTGTTTCTATAGGATTCCTATATGAAGCTTTCAATTTTCTTTCCACAAATATTGTGCTGCTAAAACACCATGATTAAAACTCCTAGGAAAAGAAACAATAGTTAAAAGAAATACAATTAATATATTCTTTTTCTGTTCTGTAAGCAACAATTAATTCCTTTTCCATATTGGTCGGTCCAACCAATCTTTGTTTTCACCTATGAGCTTGAGAAGTGTTCCATACTTACAAAAGATGACAGGCACGAGGGTAACATACCTTACAGTAACCTTAGTTCATCATCTTCCTGTTCCAGACTTTACCATTTCCCTCTATACACTCTGTGGTCTTCGGTATGATCTGTATGAAATGCCTGAGGAGTCTACAACCATGTTATTGATGATTAAAACAAAACAAAACAAAACAATCATGTAATTATTTTGAAGAAGTGGTTTACACAGTATCGTTTCCTCAATTTATAATCCTCTTTC